CCCTGCGGTCACCCCTAACGCCGCAAGCTTGAACTTGTGTGCATGCTGCTGGCAAGGCGGCCACGCACCACTGCATGACAGTGTGGCGGGACCTTCCGACGCCTGCAGAGACGCGAGAGCAGCATGACCTCAGCGATGCTCGTTTTGGCTGACACGTGCAAAGACAGCGAAAGTCTGCTTGAAACCCGGCTGTTGAGTAGCAGGCTGCAGCAATCGCCAGAGCAGAGTCATTCATGGCCATGAAGTCCAGCAACACTTGGACGAAGGACGAGAGTGCCTGCGAAGTTCTTAAGGCCAGCGGCCAGCGCAGGCTCAGCTGCACACGGCGTGGTCAATCCTGTCTGCAGGCCCGGTCTCCCGAATCCGGTGGCTGCCACGGCAATGCAACCTCAGGAGTCGTAGAAGCTATTTGCTAGCACTAGGGCCGCACTCCTTAGATGTCAACACTGCTATGGTCGATATGTCGATATGGTACCCGATTCAGGCGAAGCCGTCTTCCCTGGCGTGGTGCTATCATTCGGATCCGGATGGAACAAAGAGCGCTGGCTTCAGCGTGCACCATCAACTGTCGTTTAGAGTCCCTCCTTGCATGTATTATGATGCGACATGAAAGACTGGCTGCTGTTCAGAAGATTACTCGCTCTGCTTGCAAACGCTCAATTCTGGCCAGTATTCGGTTCGGTTTGTTCGCGCTGCTTCGCGGCTAGTCGTCATGTCATGGGCAGGATGATCGTCATTCATCGTGATCTTGCAGCAGCTGCTGCCGGCAGCTGTACACCCTATGCCACAACTTATCCCTTTCTTTTGTGCCTGCAAACCCGTCACATTGAGGCTCCAATGCTTACGCCTCAAGTGGCCAGAGACTGTTGCCATCATTGATGCAACTACAGCAGTGAAAGCATGCAGCATTTGTGTTGCTCTCGGCATTTCGCGGTGCTCAGCTCAAAAGCACAAAACGCGCTCGCACTCGTGTGGAGACTCCGGTTACCATGATGGGGGCGCTGGCATGCGGTCAAGAAGCTCGTGAGCGTCTGACGAGGGCGCGGACATCCAGTGAGGTACTAGTTTTGTGTGTCAGCGCATGCATTGTCGTTTTAGCCTCTGCGTCACCGGGACTTCATACTTGAAAGAGCAGGTAGTAACATGAAGTCTCCGATCACCTCTTCATCTGTGCTACCAGTTGCCACGCCACACACATGATGCTCACATTCGGTTCTTTAGATCTGCCTTCGTAAGAACCATCGGCACGACTTTCGTTGAAGGCCCTGTTCCCATGATGGGGTACAACGGCTCGTTTCCGATGCTGGTGTATCCTCCTCTGTAACATATGGATTCAGCCAGGTCTGTGACAGGGCCAGGCTTAGGTCAGGACTTGTGCCAAATCCGAAACGATCACAACATAGCTCGGCACCTGCCAAGCAAGGCATGACTCCATCGATAGCACCACGCAGCAATGCTAATGAGCTCATCAGAAGGCGATGCAGGCGAAATGTTCAATGTGAAACCGGCTTCGAGCCTCCTCAATAGCTTCCACAGAAATGTGTTTACCGCGGTTGGCCTGGTGTCATCGAGTAGCCAAAGGTCCGTGCAATGTCCCAGCTCCATGGCCTCGAGGCTGTTGCTCTGCAGGTGTGGAGGACGCTGAATGCCAAGAGCCATGTCTTTGACCTTACAACTGCAAGCATTCCTGACTTTGCCGTACTCGAAGCACCAGCTCATGCCTAACAGCCACAACTACTCTCAGGCGCATGCAGACTGAGGAAGAAATTCGCGGAAAGTCTCCCTGGCTCGCGATTTACGGATGAGCTGCTCACAAGAATAATTGAATGTCTTGCATGTTCTTACATATCGTGGCGGCTCCACATGAATGATGTGACATGGGTGTTGACGCAGAGAGAGCAGCACATATTCAGCAGGCGGCAAAGGTCCTTCAGCGCCTGGGTCACGAATGGATGCCCCACTGTCACTAACTACTGCAGGCCAAGGGCCGTGCCGCCAGGTACAAGTCTGTGGCCAGGCTCTTGTGCACCTGGCATCCGTGAGCCGTTCGACATTCATTCGATCCATCAAACGGCATGTCTCATTGTCTGCCATGCCATCAAGGCGCTTGGAGCAACCGGTGCATGGCGCTGAACAGTTCAGTCACCCATCGAATCTGGTAGCTTTGCACACTACCGTCGTCCTGCACTCCGCGATTTGTGGTGGAAACTGCTGCATCTGTTTTGCATCCCTGAAGCAGTCCCTGTCGTCGTCGTTGACCTGGAGACCCCTGTCCAATCGCTCTTGCCTTAGCCAACAGGACAGACACAGGTAACTCGCAAACACTGCAGCTCTTGGATCCGGTACCTTTCCTGCCGCCGTTGCTCCGCCTCCATGCGAAAGCGCTCGAAGTAGCCCAAACCTGGCGCATGGTTGATCCCGGAACAGGCGTGTCAGGCGATCATGTCTGAGCAAGAGATGCTATGTGAGCCTATCAGCTTGGAAAGCAGCATACTGAGCACCTGTTGCCAGATGAAGTAGATGCAAGATGAGCGAAACAAAACCTCATCAGCACCACATAGAGACTGAGTCCCAAACGCTCACCAAATGACCCATGCAATCCGAAAAGTCCGTCCGTGGTGGCGGCCTCGCACGGAATGTTGTCAGTGCAAGGGTACTGGAACTCTCCCTGGCCATCACGCATGCGGCCATTGTATTGTTCCTTTCTCCTCATCCTTGTGTTTTTGGGAATGCAATTAATGAACATCACACCATGTCACACTGGATCCCTGCAAGAGATGCTGCCATTTCTGTGGAAAAACCCAAGTGCTAGCTCAAGAGGTTGCCAATGTCTTTCCCTTCATGTCTCTGGACTCTCTTTTGCAAGTACAGTCACCAGTCTCTACCAGACACGGATTTCATGAGGCAATGTCTTGCGCTATGGTGACTGCCATGCCCCAGAGCTCCGAGGCTCAGGCAGCCCTGGACTGGCCATGTCGCGACAGAGCTCTGCCAGCGAGGCGAACTGCCATGAGCACATATGACCTCAGCGTTCGGGCATGCAGGCTTTTCCACTTTGAGCCGTGCCAGGACTCTGGCAAAGCCTTTGTAGGTCCATGGGTCTTGGTGAGGCATGTGAGTGAAAGCTCACCAGGCGACATGTCATTTCCGCTGCTGGCCGAGCACACTACGTCAGCGGTGCTGATCCGCCGCCGGGAAGCTCGTCGAAAGCGCTGTCCTAAGTCTGCCAATTGCAGGCATCGAATCCAGACGGTTCGAGCAAACGAGAACTGCTGACAGCCATGCCCCTTGCATCATCATCTGCCCTGGTCCCATCCAAGTACACCTGCAGTGCTGTCCATATGGCACCATGTGTGAAACTCTTGCCAAGAAAATCCCATCCTTGCCGGCCTGTGTGATAACGGAGCTTCGGACGGATTCATCGGCGAAAGGGGGCTGACCTAGCCAAGATCGGGCCTGTGCTCCTGACCTGTTCTCTTGCCGCTCGAAAAACCGAGTTCTGGACCGAGGAAGGCATGCAGAAGCAAGGCTGTGTGGGAGGACAGCCTGCATGAAACGGCTTTGCTTTGTCAATCAGTGCTGCATTGTACCATGTTTGACATGCCGGGCAGACGCTGCAAGATCACTTAAATCTCCAGCATCCCGGCTCTCTTTGATCTGACCTGCAGATTTCAAGATATTTCAACCAGATACCCGAAAATCTGACTTCAGTGCGGACCGACCTTGCTGACGTCGTCGCTCTGCAAGGTGCGATGGGCAAAAGACCAGGCCAGCATTTCGCAACACCTCCATGACTTCGAGCTCTGATCGATGGAGCATTATGACGCGACGAATGCACAGGCTAAGCTTTAGAACACTGCCCAGGCTAGCAGAAGTAGTAGAGGCGACAAACTTCCCAGCACCTCTCGTTGGATCAGTTGGCCACGCACAACGCTTGGTGGAATAACGCCCTGCGAGCGACCCAAGCTGGTCAAATCTTAAAGGAGGCCATCTTCGGACAGCAGCGAGCAGTCCTGCAGGAGCTGTGAGTTGTCCATGTTGCGATCGGCTGTCAGGTGGGCGAGCAGATTCACGAGCGCCTCAGAGTTGCGAGGCGACCCTGCATGCAGGGCAGCAGTGCAGCAGCAAGCCCGCAGAACTTGAGGGCAAGGCGAAGTACAGAAAGCGGCATGGCTGGATCATCTGGTTTGGCTGGTGAAACTCCAAGTCCTTGTTCCCAGTCCAGTCTGAAGCAAACCATTGCAGTGGACACGTATACTTTAATTGGGGCCCTGCATCCCGGAAGTAGCCACGCCCCTCATAGCGAGGTGGCTGCGCCCGCTGTTGCATCCACAGAACCCTCCTGGCATGCACAATGCAAAGCTCCAATTGTGCTCGTCGCTCAGCATCCACAAGCCACATCAACGTGTTCTCGAGTGTGTGTTGGGGCGGGTACCGTCTCGTTGCAAGAGCTTTGCTTTGTGCACTTCCAGGCTTTCACTTCCCGCATGCCTGCAGTGGCTTTGACGTTCGTTTCGGCAGGGTCAAACGTGGCTTCTGGTGTTCAGTGCGGCATTGCTGTCCGGACCGTCCGTGTCACACTGTGCTCGCTTGTATGATCTTGTACGCTTCATGCTGCAGATCTTACGCTCCTGCAAACATGTTTAGATGGCTTGGTTTTGAAGGGGACGGAACGTCCCATGTATGTTGGTGCTTGGTCGTCTGCGCTGGCGGATGCGTCTCGAAGCATCCTCATGAAACATGCCGGCAGTTCGGCACCATGTTCCGCACCTGCTGTGCCAGGTCCTCCTCGTCTTCGGCTTCAGGCGCCTGTACCTGTGAGAGGGTTTCATTCCACCCCAGTCATGACGCAGCAGATGTAGCCTGCTCCAAAGCACTCTCGAAGTTGTCGAAGAAGATGGAGGTGCCGAGCTTCAGCAGCGTGAACTCATCCTTGAGCCAGGCCAGACAACACAAGATGCCCTGAGGCCTCGCAGTGCTTGCAAGCCTTCTGACTCATCAGCTGCCGCAAGCCCTTGCCGCTACCCACAAATCCGGATTTCCTTTCGATCTCTGCCTGAAGCCGGCACAATGTGTAGGTTGGGATGCACATGCTTCGGCAGAACCGGAACATGCAAGTTGAGGGCATCACCCTGGCTTGCAAGTGATCATCCACAGTGACACGCGTCTTCGCCTCTCTGCAGCATGCTGCCGCATCTACGAGCTGCCACCTTTAGAACAACAGGCAAGAAGGCGTCAGCATCTTGGTGGCCGAGCCCAAACATTGTCCCAGCACTCGGGTGCGGGTCGGCGTCGGATGCTTAGAGCCTACAAGCGAGCTGGTGGGTTTTAACTGAGAGAGAGTGTGTGCATGTGTGTGTGTGTGCAACGCACCACCTTACCTCACTTGTCTGTATCAGCTCCCGGGTAATGAAATCCTGTCGCAAGGCAACGAATAGCTGCACCCACTGAGATGCACCCTTTCATGCTTTGTCCTGGATTTCGTTGATGGCGCTGCCGTCAGGGCCTGCCCCGTGTAATCCGTAGCCGTATCGTTACACGGCGCCAGCTCGCTGCGAAAGCAGGCAAGCTTCCGGCCAATGCACAGGTCCGTCAACAACTCCAGGATACGCTGGACAAACTTGACCCAATAGTAGGGGTCCCTGGCAGCAAAACAAAAAGCCCTGTGCTTCCTTGGTCCTCGGTCATTCCCAGGCCCCAGCTTTTGCAGGCTGTCTTTGTTTTGCGCAAATTCCTTGTACTCCTCCTCGCTCACCACGGTCTTCCTGCAAATGTCACGTGCACATTGATCGATGCAAAACAAACCACAAATTCCCCGGTGATGTCGGCTCGGGATTCGGCCGGATCCTTTTTTTGTCGGTTTCCCTGTCTGCCAATGGGCAACTCTTATTCGGTAGAGGAAAAGAAGAGGACTCAGAGGCCTCATGTTGGAGGCAACGGCCTTGCGGAGGGACATGTAGCATGAAGGAATGACTGAACAACTCTTCAAATGCAAAGTAGGGTTTTGTCTTGGTAGTTGTTTAGAAATAACCGAAACCCTCCAAAGCACCGGCAAGGGCCAGGTCCCAAAAGCAATGGTGCACTTGAGTGCACATGTCGAAGAAGCATGGGGGTGCACCCATGACGAAGAGAATCCCTCAAGCAGCGCAGATGGATGGATGGCCGCACCCTTGCTGTTGTTTCGATGCGTCCCTTTTTAAAGCACAACAAACATACTTCGTCACCGGTAGTAGCGCAGGCCCCCCTGCACAGCAGCAGCAGCAGCAGCAGCAGTCCGAAGAGCTGATGGCATGGGCCACGTCTTTAATGTTATCGTCAGAGTAATCTTGCCCACCCTCGCCTGCTCGTCGCTCTGAGCTGCAAGGCTCTCAATCTCTGTATCCCTGCGTTCATTGTCCGTAAACCCTCGCATCGCCATGACTGTTGGTAAGCTTCGTGTAACGGTACCACTTCTTATACCGCCATCGGGGCATTAGCTCGACAGGAAGGTTTTTCCATGAGCGCTGTATTGCAGAATCTGCCGTTTTGGCTCAAGCACTAACCGCAGAGCCCGTCAACAGTATCACTCTGTTGCCATTGCCAAGTCAATCGTCCATCACACGGTTCCTCAACACTGAACCCGGAACTTACGGAGCACGCGCGCAAAGGGTAGTTGCACTGTCGTGCTTGACAGACTCAAAACCAAAAAATCCAAAAACCCAAGAAGCTCTGACCGCAAAGCCCAGCAAAAACTGAAGCCCTAAAAGCTCAAACCCCCTTGAGCTTCACACACTTGAACTGTCTGTGCTTGAATCGGAACGTGCTTCAATAGTTCAACAAAGGCTTGGAAAAAGTTGCACTTGCCTGCGTGTGAACAGCTTCCACAGAACATCCACGATGACTCTGATTCCTCCCAAGTTCTCCTGCGGCTTCTCATGACGCAAACCAATGCGATGCCTACCACAGATTTCTCAGTTTTAGTTACCAGCAGCAGTGGTCTGCAATCAAGGCCTCGGCCGTGCCATTTGTGCATTTCTTTCGGAACTGCTCCAAGACTTGCTGGAACCTCGGCAGGGCCCCGACATCCTGACAGATCCTGACATCACAGCAAGCGCCTTTCAACGGCCCTGGCTGGCCAAGCTTGATCGTGCAGTCTGCTTCCTCCGCAGAGTCCGCTGGCTCGGGCCGTGCCTTTGAGACGGCAAAAAGAGCGGGGTCTTTTCCAACCTTCCAAGCAGCCGCTTGGGACTGGGCAAAGGCCATAGTGAGCAGGTACAGGGTGTGAGCCTCGGGATTGCAGATCTTGCCCAGAGAGCAAGATTAAAGCCCAGATAAATCTGGTGAGGGTGCGCAACACGCTGGCAGAGGCAGTGACTGAGAGCGTACTCAGCAAATCTGTCGTGGTCGCAACCTGTCGCGGCAGTCCATTGGCAGACTCTGCCAGCGGCAGCTGTCGCTTCACGCAGAAGACAACTGCTTTCAGTTATGCTGCCGCCGTGCATCAGAGCAATTCGACGCAGTTGGGCTGTGCCCAGGACCATCGATGCTCAGTGGAGTTGACCCGGACCCAGCTAAGAGACACCCATGCAGCTACTAGGTAGGATCCTCCCCTTCCTCTTCGGAACCCGTGCTGCAAAACGAGGCAAATAAGAGTCAAGACGCGTATAGTCTAAAAGATCTGCTGACACGGAGCCGTGTGGTCTCTTATTGTTACAACGAGTCTCAGCAGCCCTCAAGGTCCAAAGCATCAAGAGCGCATGCTCTCAGGTGCGTTTAACGACAGCTGTGGGGCCTGGCAGCAAGGCACCAGCTCAGGGACCAAGTCCCGTGAAAGGAAGACGTCCTGCCAGCTCCATCGCAGATTACAGAGCGTCTCAGCAGTTCGGATGTCGCCTATCCACTCCTCGACTTCACTGCTGGACTGCAACAGGGAACTAGTACCGTTCGAACCAACTTGTCCGGCATCATGATGGCTCGTCTTGCTGCTTCTCGGCGCTCAGGAGTGTTCACCTGCACATCACAACCCAGGCAGCAAGGAAAGGCTGTGTTCGTTTCTCCAGGCACGGCGCGAAGATGGTGCTGGCCTCGTACGGCGAGATTGTCAGAAGACCGGCGTTGGCAGCGCTGTTTGTCTTGAAGGGCATGAGCCTTGAGCAAAGACACAGTCAAAACTTCGTGGCTTGACCGATCTTTCGCATTCACCTCATTGGTCTAGGCTCCGGACAGAGGCAAGAATGACTCCAGTTGGATTCTCACCTTGCAATCGATGCAAAGTTCAATGGAAGAGAACGTCGAGCGTCTCTGTTACTGCGGCGATGCATGACTGAAGTGCATCGAAGAAACGAAATCTTCGTCAAGTAGCGGAGGGGCCGTCTGCCACATGACGTGATTGCTGTCTACATTCTGAACAGTAACGTGGAAGATGCGTTCTCCTTGTCCCAGCCTGGTTGTTCAAGCCCTTTGTCACCTTCAGCTGAGGACTGAAAGCAAGCCAGAGCCCTTGTTTCAGCTTCCACTACCGGTAGTTTCTTGCATAACCGCGTAGGGATGTTGGGGAAAGATTCCTTTGTCTCCAAGCAAACTGGAGTCTTGCTGTTAGAGAAAAGACTTGTCCAGTGATTCTCTCAATGGCAAGAGATCAAAATGCCTTTGCCTGCAATGTTTCTACTGCATCATACAGTCACGACGCCAGGACACTGAGCCTCAGGATTAGAATGAAGTTACAGCGCTGGCGTGTCTGTGAGCTTGTGGGAAGAAACGCTCCACGATCCTTGACCCTCGACTTCCACGGCACGAAACGAAGTTCTTTATCGCATGACTGAGCTCCAAGTCTCAGATCTTGGAACCAAGAGATCTGGTAGCACTAGTCCATTTTGGCCTTTTTGTGATCTTCCGACTGTCTCTGGCGTTGCCTACTTGCACAAAACGAAGTTCTTTCTGCATCCAGTGCTTTCTCTGGGCATGACTCTGACCCTGCATTCTTGAACCTGGCAACCGCAGCTGGGCGGCAGACATTATTGGAGGTAGCAGCAGAGACCGCCTGCGAGACTTCTGTGCCTTTGATGCTGCCAGCGACAGACTCCTGAGCAAGGCCGGTACGGTTTAAGTGCGCAGCACACGGACGCCGAGACAAGATTCTCAGCCAGTGCAGATTGTTTACACGTCAGTGGCCGTGGCTCTTGAAGTCTTGGCGACTGGCTGGTCGGCTGCGTGCAGAAGTTGCGGCACGTGGTGAAGAGCCATTGAAACCTGGCCATCGCATCTTTGCACACCCCGACGAAATCCGACAATGTGTGCCGTCTAACATATGCGAAGATGATGATGCGGTTGTCATACCGCGGCAGTCAACTCTCGATGCTCACATCAAACTTATGCGCACACACAAAGCAAGATGGCACATTCCCGATCACACGTGTCCCTCAGCGATTGCACATGAGAGGTCTTGTACCTCCAGTGTCTGACAATAAGCCGAAGTAAGCCAGCAGGCTATCCTAGCAGATCGGATCCCTGCAGAAAGCAGGGCTCGCTCTGCCATGCTCTGCCCACGACTAAGAGGTGACTTGAGTTTGCTCAGCCTCTCTCACCTGCCACACTAAGACGTCGGCTTTGGTTTCCAGCCGCAGACGATGTGGCACCGGCGGCTGCATTTCCAAGTGGTGTACCTGGACGTCCAAGGACACTGAACCCGTCGGTTGAGTAGACTGTAGAGACTGCTGCGGCAGATAATCATCAGGTGGTGAAATTGCCTTCTCCCAGGGACGAGGTCGTCAAAGTGAAGTGGCTTGCACCAATGATGTTTTGGTCCTTCCAATCGTGATCTGTCAACATCAGGCTACCAATCGCCCCACAGAAAAACAATAGCACGATGGACGCATAGCAGCATCCTGGACCTGATACTCGTAATGCGGCTTGGATATTTCAAGCCTGGGCACATGCTGAGTTGAGGCAATCGTATCTTGTTCTGACTTCAGTCACTACCGGCCCTGAACTGTGTGCAGGGAACAAACACTCATGCTTGGATACATATTGCTACACTGATGCTTGATAGGACATTAGAGAGGACCCGTGACGTGAAGGTCTAATCGGCTCTGAGTCCGCAGCGCACGGGGCCGAGCTGGTTTGGCACTCTTGGCAAGGCCATAAAAGACCTCTGGTGCAGTTGCCTCTTGCTCTCCTCACACGGGTCCGCAGCCAAGATCGGGCCTGCAGGTGGGCAACGGCCCGTGTGTCACCTGCAGCCTCATGTCAAGGTCAGCGCAAGAGCTAGAGCTCTGAAGCGGCAATCAAATTGTGCCTTCTCCCGAGCCGCTGCATCTGTTAGCCCCCCGGCTTCCTGCGAGGAAGTCTGTAAAATCACAACGCTTCACAGCGCTACACACCCCTACTACTGCAACAGTGAGTGCCAGATGTCACAGTCGCAAAGTGGATCAACTCACACAGCTGTCGGTGTAGAGGTCATCCATGCTCAGGCAAGGCATAACACGTATGTTCTTGATGGCATGCTGTTGTAAACTGAGGGGCCAAACAATGTGGTTGTCTGAAGCATGACGAAGTGAGAGAGTTAGATTTCCCCAGCATGTTCGACCTCCTGGGAGCGAGGTTCCTCGGCAGTTGCCGGGTATGCTGATGTGTAACATGTCAACGGGGCTCCTCGATGGCGTCCTCTGCCTTATCGGAGCTGACCCTCTTGTTGCGGTCTTCTTCCTGAAAATCTCCAAAGATACTTAATTTGCACGTAGCTTGGACCCCCCCCAAACCTGGCCTCGATCTCCATGATGAACGATAGGAATGCCCAGCCTGCTCGGGCTCAGAGGGAGCGGCTGTAGCAGTGACAGAACTCACCGGGGCCCGGAGCCTTTCTGCTCCTTGAGCTCTTTCATGTCCTGAGATCTCCACACTCCCACTAGTCGAGACCGCTTCTACACACAGGCATTGCTGTGGCCCCTCTCCTTCAGAGGCCTTGGAGGCATGTCGGCACCTCCTTTGTCTGTCCAATTCCACACGCGGCGGCGCTTTTGCATGTTCGCGTTCCTGCAGAAACCGGCACACATGAGGATGCACCGAGCACGACTTTCCCTGGCCCGGCCCTTGCTTCGCGTTTCGAACTCCACTCTTTCTGATCTGGAGACTATAGTCGCCAGTCCGCATGCGCAGTCCTCAATTCGCGCACCTCCTCATACCGCAGGCGCAAGTGGTCGTCCTACATCACGAGAAAAGCATGGAGGACACAGAAAATTTCCGAGACGCTGATTCTGGACCTTGCCTGCTGCTTTCGTACGATGCGAAAGGAAGCATCGATGGGAAGCACGTCCTTTCCCTCTTCAACCATCCTGATCGCGTCCCAGCTCTCCCTTGCACTCAGCTGTCCGGCTCCCCTGAGAGAAGCACCGCTTCAGGTCCAGGGTGGACTCGGAGGACGACGAGCCTCGGCGTTGGACGAAGAGTCGAAAAGCATGTAGGTTTTTTCGTGATTATGGCTGCAGCCCATAACTCGAGCATCGCCTTGCGCTTCGCCCTTGCGCGCTCATGCGCACACACGGCTTTAAACACATTCCCACCTTGAAGCCTTGATAAACCGTCTTACACTACTTGATTGCCCTTGCGCTCGCCCTTGTGCACGCTTGCGCCGTGCTGGTTTTGGAGCAGGTCCTAAACCTGCATCAAACTGTCAACGGTGCGCTGTGGTCGGGTCGCCTGTATTTGTGCTTGCGCGAGCACTGATGGCTGTGCCAGCAACTGAAAACATGAAAAATAAACATAAAAATAAACCGCTGTTCAGGGCGCGGAGTCCATGATCTCGGACTTGGGCGCTATCTGCCGCTATCTTCAAGCACTATTGAAGCTGGTGCTGAGAAGGTCGCCCCCCAAGACAGAGGTGCCATGCCCGGGCGTTATTGCTTCTCTCTCCGGGGCAAGTTCGATCCGCAATCAATGGCCCCTCCTGCTCACATTCCCAAAGCCGCTCGGCAATCATCTCCTGTGGAGCCAACCGGCCAAATCCCGTCCTTTCTTGTGGAACAAACCTACGTGGCGACGGCTGAGCAGCGGCAAGGGGCCCTATCTGCACCACTGCTTCGGCATTCCGCTTCCAGTCTTCAGCTATCTCATGCCTGGAAGGTGCTGGGGGCAACGCAGTCCCACTCGATGCGAATCTGTGTGGAGATGCCCTTGTCCATGCGAGACCACACTGAGAACGAGAAGGCCTGACACATACGATCAGCTAGGATCCAGGCGCAGACGAGCGCCAATTCACTTGAAGGAAGCAGGACGCACTGTGCGAAGGATGAGTCTTGGACCCTTTCGCTCCGGGATGGCAGGAAGAAGTGCTCACGCTTCTCATCGGCTTCAGCCCTTCGCAGAGGACAGGACACAGGGTGCGTGCCGGCAGGCTCCGTGCGCTGTCTGTCTGTGAGCCCGGCCCCGAGTTCTTGAGGTAGGTGAGGATCCGGTAGTCATGGTTCAACTCCTTGATGTCCTGCATGGAAAGCCAGGACATCCATGTGCCTCTCTGGGCTGTTCTCCCTTTAGACCTGCTTCTTGGAGTTGATCTTCGGTAGAACGGGGCCGTATGGGTGCAAGGCCTAAGCTGCCGGGGCCTCCCCCGGGTGCTTTCATGATGCAGAGCCCTCCGAGAGCTACCAAAGCTCGCTGCCGTGTACATCACCTCGAGCACCTCATGTCGAGAAGGCATGCACCTGCCGCCTGCCCCTGCCCTGTCTTCAGCTTGTCACTGCCGGGGCTGAAGCCCTGGATCGCATTTTCCGGTTGCAGTTCATCGTGATCGCTCGGAGAGATTCCACCTCGATCCGAGAATCAGGTGAACGCCTGTTCATGCAGACAGCTGTTGGGAACGAAGCCATCAGAGTGATGTCAGGATGCAGATCCGCGAGGAGCGACTGGCCGGCACATGCATTCTTGGTGGTGTCTGAAGCTTGTGGCCAAGCATTTCACTTTCCATGCTTGAGCGCAGCCTGGTCGTTGATGCCAATGTCAACCTCCACGTTCCGTAACATATCCTGCACAGCTTCAACCGATGCTCCCCTGCACACGATCTCGTTGAGAGCGATGGCGCACATACAAGTCTCGCAGGCCATCGCCCTCGTCGAACGCCAACATCTGGATAAGTGGAATGCAATTCGTTGTCGGAAACCTCGGAGCCATGCAAGATGAGTGAGAAGGACCCGCTGAATGCTTGTCAACAAGGCAGGCACTGGTCCTGCATCAGATTGGACAGACACTGGCAGCAGTTTGAGATGGAACCTGAGCAGGCGAGCCGTGCGAGATGCACACGACCATGACTATGATTGCCAGCTCATCAGAAAGTAAGCAATGCGCCACAAATTTCTCGGAAGAGGCGAGTGCTCGCTGTGTAAGGCAGCAAGCGGTAGACTGGCAGAGCGCAACCGTGTCAAGCGATTACAGCTGGATTACAGCTGGAACGCACTCGCGCAGTAGCACCTGATTTGTACAGCGTGTTGGTCTGTGGGTTCGTGCAGAAGCCAGGGATGTCGTAGTTGAAGTTGGCTTTCGAATTGGCAAACCTGGATGACGAAACGACAGATTTGCATGCTGCATATTGTGTCCCAAGACATGAACATCGCCTTGGCAAGAAGTCTCGGATGACGCTGAGGATCCTCATCATCTTTGGCACGACCTTCTGTTTGGTCAGATGCCAGCAGCGCACCACTCAGCAACGGTCTTTGTCTCCCACAAGCGCGCGCCTCCAACTGGATGAGCTGTGAATGCTCCTCCGGGCTGGTAGTGCAGCAGATGTACTTCAAGACCGATGCTGCACCTGACCGAAGCTTCAAAGGGCTTTGCAGTAGGAGCTGGCGTTTTACATGTGAGGTAGCACAAGCATGTCGCTGCACTGGTCACTTAGCCGGGCACTGAAGCACAGGTTCAAGTCGAAGAAAAGCTCCTGCCAAATCCAGGAAGCTTGGAGAATACTTAATCATGGCGACAAAGGCGGCGTCCCCAGTGTCACGCGCATCTTCTTGCCCCACTGCCTGGCAGAATTAGATTAGCATGGCGCATGAGGGAACTGCGGATGGGCATGCTTGCCTCCAAGCTCGAGTCCATGGGGCGCAGGACTTGGTGCATCGTACTTGCCTTGGAGCTTGCGTTCGCTTATAGGTGCCGCATGCATCAGTCAGTGTCAAGGCCTTAGGCCCGAACTCCATGCTTGTCCTTGCCGCTGCCGGTGCCCTTGCTCATTACCTGAGTTTGCCGAACCCCAACCAATGTGAACTGCGCACAAGGACTGCCAAAGCTCAGTAGCCCCTTGGGTGAAGGTATCGGTGGAGATGATCGAAAAGCGCATACCTAGCATGCGACGGCCATCCTCGCCCTTGAAACTAGAAGACATGTGGCCCGAAAGCATCATTTG